TTAGGAGCTCATCTGATCTTTACTCTCTGTGAGCATCCACTGTACACAGGTATCTATTTGGGCTGGCTACACCCATGTCCACATGCCCTTTTGTGGATAGAGTCCCTCTTCCCCATCCCATCATGGGTCTAGGCTGCATTTGAACCACCTGGTTGAAAGCTTTCAGAACACAAACTTTCTCCTCTCAATCTTATCCTTTCCCAGAAGCATGCTATGGCCCAGCTACAGAGTCCTGCTGCTATAGGCCAAGGATACTTACCATGCTGAGCAGGTCAGCACCACCTGTAAAGCCTAGGAACCATCACTGTGAATCTAGCAGAAGGGCCCATGAGATAAAAGAGAGGCAAAGGCTTAGAAGTGGAAGGCAAGGCCATGAGGGGCTTGCAAGGACCCACTCTGTGGCTATGTCCCCTTGACTATAGGCAAGGACCCACTCTGTGGCTATGTCCCCCTGACTATAGGCATGGAGCCCAACTCACAGGTGGCAACAGAGTCACTTCTGCTCTGGCCCATAAAAGTTTCCAGGAGGATCTTCCCCTTTCTCCCCTCTGCCCCCAGAAGAAAGGGAGTATTGTCCAAGGATCCCAGAGCTGCAGAGCCACAAGATGGCAGGAGCCCAGAACTTCTTTACATACCCACCACTCTTTAGTGATGACCTGCACAGAGAAGTGTGCTCATGGGGGTACCCCACTGTCTCATCAGGGAATAAGGAATGGGAATTTGGGGAGTCAAGAAGACAGAGGGGCATCAGGTTCTTCTGCAAACGGGAGTACAAGTCATAGACAAGGGTGATATATGGCATGCATGCGCTGAGGTTATTTAAATAGTCACAGGGGAATTCCTGTTGGTGTGAACAGGCAAAGGTTGGGCAAGGTTGGGGAGGGAGGGCCCTGTTGGGAGGCCACCGTCCTTATGGCCTGTTGATCTAGGGGAAAGCAAGCTCACAAGTTCACAGTCCCCATTCCTACCTCGAACCTTGGATCTTGATCCCAACTGACCCAGACCCCTCCTGTGTCACCAGGAGTTGGGACAATTAGGAATAGGGGACAAAAAAGAGAGTGAAGGAAGATGACGGTAGGGCCCTGGGAAAGGGGTTCGTGGTGTGTGGAGCCAACAGTGTCAGTCTTAGGGAACATGCAGGCCTGTCCTTTATCTCACCCCTCACGCTACATATTTCCAGAGAAATCATTTCCAATTTCAAAGGCTCCATGGAGGCGGATTTTTCCATCTGGGCTCTGCTGATGAGCTAGTTGGAAGGAACTTATGCGTTCACTCACTTCCCTCATCTGAGCCTCATGTGGGGACTGGGAGGGGAGGCAAGGAGCCCATGGTGCCTGGGAGCCCCTCAGACCTTGGAGGCAGCTGATGGCTCCAGTCCCTTCCTGGGCGGGTCTCCACCTGGCTAGTAGTATGACTATGAGTCAGGGGTCTGGATCCCCCCAGGAGACCAGCAGGATCCGGGCAGAGGGGCCATGTCTCTGCACGTGCAACCAGTTCGATGGCCTCCCACCCCTCTCCTGGGTCCCCCTCACATCCTGCTCTGGCGAGGCTGTTTCCCACACTGCGGCTTCCAAGTACTCAGCCCACACTCAGCTCCCTCCTTCCCCTGGCTCAGGAGATGACTGACTGCCTGTCTTCCCACCAAGGCCCCCGCACTCCCTGCCCTGGGCCTCACCCTTGGGGCCCTGGAGAGGAGGGAGCTTCCATTGCCTGCTCCTCTCATGGCCTAGCTTACTCAGCTCCAGTCTGCTTTCTTCCTCGGTGGCAATGGCCCCTGTGACATTGCCCTTCTCTGCTCCTTGCTTCCCGAGTGTCTGTGGATGTCCTGCCCCAGCCTTCTCCTAATGTGGTACTTCCTGGTGGAAAAAAAATCATGAAATGAATTATGTTCCCTCCATCTTCAAACCAAGAGGTGAAACTCAAGCCCTCAGTTCGTTAGGATGTGACTGCAGTTGGAGATGGCAATCTCTGTAGGGGTAAGTTAATGTAAGTCTCCAGGGTGGGCACTAATCCGCACAGCTGTGCCCTTGCCAGGAGAGATCGTGACACAGTTTTGTAGGGAGCAACTACAGAAGGCCTGGGGGGAAGACACCATCTTGCAAACCATGGGAGAGCCAAGCCAGCAGCCCCTCAGATTTGGGCTTCTAGCTTCCAGGACTCAGGCAGTGGCTGCTGTTTGAACTGCTTGCTCTGCACTGTTTTGTATGGTAGTCTGAATTAAAACAGTGACATTCTTGCTCTGCCTCAGTTTCCCCACTATCTCTTGCCTCTTTTGCTTTCTTGGCACCACATCTCTCCTTCCCAGCAAGGACTCTCCTCATGCACTCTTGCCCTCCAGCTCCCTCTAGTCTTGCCTCTGAGTGACCAGTGTTCTTCCGCCTCTCAGGGTCCCTCTATGCTCCAACACTGGGCCCCTGTCTCTAGGCCTGATTCCTGAGTCTGTTGCTCTTGGATTCAGGGTTATTCCATGTGGATCCCCAGCCAAGGCAACAATATTCTCCTCAGTGGTCCTGTCTGTCCCTGAAGACCATATTCCTGCTTTGGCTATAGCTGGACACAGATTCCTACTATTGCTAGGGCATGATGGCCTGGGAAAAGCCAGGTTAAAGTGTGTGTCGGGGCAGGCCTCAGACCTCTGTGGAACACCTGGCCAGGAAGGACTCCTCCAACCTCAGATAAGATGGAGGACAGAAGAGGGGACAAATAGGGTGAGGAGTTCAAAGCCCCACTCCGCCTGAGACCCCAGGCAGAGCGACCCAAGTGCCTGGCTCCCTTTGCCTCAGAACTGAGCACTAGTCCAACTCTGCTCTACAGGCCCTGGGAGAAGTACCTTCCTGTGGTGTCAGTCCCGATATGAATATCCAAGGGTACACACTTGGCCCAGAGCAGAAGGGTTTTGGATTTAGAAATGGGGGAAACATGTGATGTGAGTGCTCAGTTGACATGGATTGCTGTGAGCTAAGTTGCTGGGGTCTCCTAGTGTGGTGAACTTAGAGTCTCCAGGCTGGAGAGTTGTCTGGCCTCTTGGCCCAGCACCTCCCCAGACACCATCTTCTAACATTGAACAGGCTGTGGTGGGTATGTGTCCTCCATTTCCCTGTCTCTTTGGAGAGTGCTGGGCCAGCAAGTGACATGTGGAACAATGCGAAGGCCATGAGAAGCCATTGCTTCCTTAGGGGTCACATCCCTATCCCTTATCAAGCCTCAGTGACAGTTGTGTCTAAGAGAATCCTCAGGCCATGGGACCCCTTTGACATACCCAGCCAATGCCTGATCCATCTGAAATACCCTCCGGGGACCGTCTCTCTGGTCCTCTTGGAGTTCCACTTTAGAGACAGCGTTGAACTGACTCAACCTCGCCGGAAGGTTCCACGCTATTCCCTCAGTTTTCTGCAGAGAGCTGGGTCTCCGAGGGTGACCCTGGCCCCTTGGAGCTGCCCCCCTGACCACCTGGCCCCTAGCCTGTTTCTCTTTCCTATGGGACTTCCTCTGACTTCATTGTTTTAAGTTGGTGGTTGGGCCAACAAACAGTTTGAGTTTCACCCCTTGTGGCTTCCCTCCCTCCCCTCCTTCTTCCTCTTCCTGGCCTCCTCCATGTAGTTGCTGCCCTAGGTCCAGGGTGGGCACTGGGGCAGGAAAATTATTGCTCAGGCTCCAGGGCCGCAGGGGAAAAGAAGAAGAAAAGACCCCCCCCGCCCCCCACCCCCCAGCTCCTCATCTCCTTGGGGCTACAAACAACTTACTGGCTCCCCCCCCATCTATACTGGATGCTGAGTCCTCAGGCTTATTTTGAGGGAATGTAGGGACTTGCAAGGAGCAGAGTATTTGTTTTCTATTGCTTTTGGAAAAACAAACAAACAAACAAACAAAAATGAGCAGGCCCTGGCTATGTGAAAGCTGCCTCTTCTCTTCTGCTCCCCACCTTGTTCAAGGCATGGAGGAAAAGGCCTGTGTTCCCCCCACCACCACCACCCTTCTTTTTAGGGGCTGTGGTGAAACCAGGGGTAACTGGAACCCGTGACCTTTGCCCTCTGGTATCTTTGAACTCAATAGTCTTTGATGTCTCAACGTTCACGGAGCTTCCCCCAAACTATGGCATGGGGTCAGGCTTGGGAGAGTGAGACCCTCTTAAATAACCCCTTAGGAGCCCACAGTGAAGTTAAGGAGCCTCCTGCTAGTCCTCATCAGACAGTGTTGGCACTAGCCCTGAGCTAGACAAAGGAGCGCAGATGCGGTGCCTGGCTCCCTTCTGGCCTTCATGTCTTTCTCCAAAGCCAGGGCTTCCTCCCTGGTCCTTGGTCATCTGTGGGCCTTGCACATCGGAGGCTGCAAGGCTCCCCCACTGAGGGAGAGCCAACAGATTCTCCAGCCTCACGATGGTTGCGCCTCTCATTGAATACCCTCCATTTCTGTCAGACACCTAGAGAGGGTCCTGTTTATCTCTCTCCATGCTCCAGCCAGGACTGGAGCCTCTGGGTGGTAATGAGCTAGTTTGTGTGGTGAAACAAACCACCACCCTTTGCCTGTGGAGGCTTGAGTGTGGGCCTCCTGATGACTCTGCTGCTGCTTGGGCCTCTGTAGGCCTGGCTTTGGGCCTCCTGATGACTCTGTTGCCACTTGGGCACCTCCTGGACTTTATCTAGTCACGCTTCCTGAGGCACACTTCTTACAGTTCTTTAGGCCCTCAAAAGACCAGATAAGCCCCTCCATCCATAACAGTCACTTCTTGCAGCCCTCACCTCATGGCGTATCATTTACTTACTAGGCACTCTACAAAGGCACAGGGAGATAGAGGCCTCACACCTACTCTCCAGGTTGCTCTCTGCAGGTCCACCTAGCCAGTCCCCTCTAGAGAGCTAAGGCCAGGGAGGTGCTAGGCCCACAGGCCAGACTTCTTCCTGCCAGGATGGGTAGTGTTGACTCTTTGGAGATAGTTAGTTTCGGGACGAAACTAAGGAAGAACAGGTCTTGAGAAATAAGGGGTAAACTTGTACCAGCCCTAATTAGTTCTCATTGCTGCCTTTACCATTTTCTTCCCAGACTGGGGTCTCTCCGTTTCCTTCCCCATCATTTTCCTGCAGTCCTATTCAGGAGCGGCCTGAAACCACGCTGAGCATGATGGTATGTGTCCTAGGGTGTATCCTGAGGTGGGGCCAGATCACACTCAGTTTCAGTCCTGTCTCAGTGGGCCTGGGTCTGAACTTTGCAGATTGCCCTGAACGGAGAGAGCATCAGAGTTGGACTGTGGCTCTGAGCTGCTGTGGGCCCAGTGGGTGGGCAGAGGCTGGAAGCAGGGCCCCAGCCCTGGACGCCAGTATAGCCCCCCGCCCCCCGCCCCATCTCTACCCACAAGTGGAGCCTCTGCCAGGATTCTGAGGGACATTGTTGTTAATACTATTATTACAGCCGCTGCAGGAACGAGCACTAAGCCTCTGAGTGATTTATTTAACATGTGGCCTTATTGATTAGGGCCAGCTTTCCATGGTGGTGGGGAAGGCCATGCCTGGGCCTCCAGGAATCTCTGGTCTGGGAGGAGGGGGGGGGGCAGGAGCCTGCAGGGCGCCTCGGGGCAGACCCCAAAGACTCCGGTCTTTCTTCCCCTGCCCTGAGGGAGGCCCTGTCAGATGGGTGGTGGGGGGAGGCAGGGAAAGTACCTGTTGTGGGAGGGGGCAGCCCCGCTCCAGGGAGACTGGACAGAGACTCCAGTAGCCACCAAGCCTCTAATACTGGCCCTGGGTGAGCTGACAACAGAATGCCTAGGCTTTGGACCTTGGTGGATCCAGAACTCACTTTCTGATCAGACCTTACAGCTGTCAAGAGACAAGCTGGGAACTGGGGGAGGGGGAGGGGAGCTGTAACCTCCCCTTTCCCCCAGAAGGCTGCCTAGAAACCTGGGTTAGCTCCAGGCTTGTCACCAGGGATGGGAGACACTTGACCCAGACCAGCACTTTGAGGACTCCACACCACTTCTTCAATGAACCCAACCTCCTCAGATGGCACTGAGGCAGAGAGGCTGGGGTCCTGCCTCTGGTACTGGCTATTCTGAAAGACCTAGATTACAGCGTAGCCCCCTGAAAGTAGCCACCAGCTCTACCCAAAACCTGTGTGGGATTGGGGTTCTCCCATCTCACCTCCTAGAAGGGGCAAAGGTCCTGTGCTGAGAAAGGAAGGAAACCAGTTAGAGACAGACCTCACCGGACCAGAGTAGCCTCTTCAACCTTGCAGAGTCACTTTCTCTTCAGCACCAGGAACATTTCTTCCCCTGATGGAAGGGCAGTGGGAGTGGAGGGGGTGGTGGTGGGAGCATCACCTGCCTGCCAACTGCACTAATTCCCGGGGATGGCCTTGATCATCGAGCTCAGAAACAGGCTGAGTAGGGCGCCTCAGATATCAAGGCCTCTTCTAGATAGCTACCTTCTTGAACCCCAGGAGATATTCCCATGGCATCCTGAGCTCATCAAACCTGGGGTTCTAGGCAGCTAAAAAGTTGGGGTTCATGTGGAAAGCTAAGGGATGGAGTAGCTGAGTACAGGGTAGGAGAGATCAGAACTACAGACACAGATCCCCTGCTCCAGACACTGAAGTGGGGCTGTCTTTCTGGCTCTCCTTCCTAGTGTTTTGTCTTGCTTTCAGTCTGTATGCTTGGGTGGGTACCCTCTACAGCTCTGATGAGTTTGCTACCTGGACTCTGACAAACTAAAAACAGCATTGGAGAGATGAGCTTGGAGGCCACTTATGATTTGGGGTATAGTGAGAGGTCATGGAACCCCCTAGAATTCTTGGAGGGGCAGAGGAGGTGATATAGTGACACATGAAGCTGGCATCCAAGAGGTGGCCGGTCTGCGCAGCCTAGACCATCCCATGTGCTTAAAAGAGAGCTCAGAAGTAGGGATGGCCCCGGGCCAACAGTTTAGACTCATGAATTCTCATCCTCCATATTACCCTTACCCCTATTCCACAAAGCACCAAGTGCTGGGCTCTCTGGAGCCGCTGGTTGCCCTCTACCCGAGATTCACAAGGGTCCAAGGGACCCTGCCCTGACTTGAAATCCATCCATCCCCTGACCCTAGATCCCAGGAGCAGGTCTGGCTGGGGCTCTTTTTGAAGGCTATCACACAGCTCTGGGCCTTTTTCTTCAGCCAGGGCAGCAGCTGGGCTCCAGCCCCAACATGCTGCCGTCTCTCCTCTTGTCCCTTTTTATGACTAATAAAAGGGATTGTAAAACCCGTGCGTGTACAAAGTGCACCCTGTAAATGGGTCCTGGTAATAATGACATCTGCAGCAGCACTCCTTGGCCAGTCGTGCTCAAGGAGGAGGGGAACCTGCCCTGGACTCTGCAGCATCTGGCCCACCCAGGGACAGAGCGCTGGGCTCAGGTGCACCCCCTCTATACCCCTCTCTTTGTAGGGCCAATGGGGGCTGGCAAGAGAGAATCCTCTATGTAAAGTTACCCCTCAGGTCTTCACCACAATGAACATACGTGCTTCTTCCATGTAGAGCTGGCTTTGAGATAGTGCCAGCCTCCTGAGGGAAAGTGAGATGCACTGTGGTCCTTTCCTTTTCATTTTCTGATGTGCCCTTGATCCCAGAGACTCAGTTTCCCCAGCTGGCTCTCTTGGCCTGTAGTACCCAAGAAAGCCTGGAGTTCTAACCCATGCCCCTTTCTCTCTGAGCCCCTTAGGTTCAGCTGTCAGAGGCCCTATGCTCTCCCCCAACCCCCACATGGCCATGCCAGCATAGGGTGTCAGGCCCCCAGGCCATGGACAGCGTGGGAGGTGGGAGGCCCAGGCTGGATCATGAGCTGTGAACAGTCTCATAGGCAAAGCTCCCAGGAAGGCTATGGGGATTAACTCCGGTTTTCCCTCCTCTCTGACATGCCGCTTCTTGCAGAAGGTGGCCCTGGGAGAACCCCCATCACCTTTTAAGGTTAATTTCCTATTAAGATTCTTCTGTTTGGAGAATGCCAGATGGAATGTACTGTGGGCTAATCCCACCCAACCAAGCCAGCAGGCGCCGGCCCTTCATAGTGAGAGAGACAGGTAGAAGGGACCCGCCTGAGGCAGTAAGCCTCGTGAAGGACTTTTATGGAGTGTTCTGTGTCCCCATGCATCCATGACAGGGCAAAAGGCCTCTACTGTGTCAGATTTGCCCTTGTTTAAATAGACTTCAGAATAGTTTCCTCTTAGCAAAACCCTTGGGAAACAGCGCTAATGACTGTCTTTTGTAGGGGGACTGGCCCTAACCGTTCCACGGAATAGGGAATCTAAAAGAAGGAGCTTTCAGAAAAAAGAGAAAAAAGGCCTCCATTTGTCTGTCCACTAATTACCGTGCTGTAAAGATTCCCCCACCGCCATCTTTCAAAGGAGCAGTGAGAGAGCTGGAGCTGAAGTGCACCACTCACCCCACCGTGGCTTCTAACCTTCAGCCAGATGCAGAGGCTGAATGGACTTCAAGATAGGTGGGGTCTGGACTGCTCTGGGGTACTCCAGCCTTTGTCAATCTGCCTAGTGCCCACCACAGACTCGTGTTAATGGATGCTTGCATGTCCTGGGAGGACAGAGGTATCAGGAGAGCAGGGACACAGGGCCCCTTCTGCAAGGGAAAGCAGCTCTGAGCTGGGGTGCTTGGAGGAAACAGCAGGCCCGACACTTAAGCTGGCAGCCTTCCCAGCTCGGCTGAAGCCCCCTCCTCCCTTCCTGCCGCTCCCACACCCGGTTTTCATTACCTTACACCTGGGCTATTGTGGCAGCCCTGCCTGCCTGGCCCTGGCTCAGGCTGGGCTCTGCACACAGTAGGCTTCTTCTGCACGCTGAAATGCTCTGAGAGCCCCAGTCCCTGAGGTGGAGTGGCTGGGAGCCCAGGGCTGCACACTCTGCTGTTGTCTGCTCACAGTGACCTGCTCTGAGTAAAAGTCCTGAGCCACTGCTTAGGAGGATGGCCTACCCCCCTCACCCCCCCCCCAAAAGAACGACAAAAAACCAAACAACCTGTGTGTTTAAGGAGAATCACAGGAGACAGTGTCAGACCAGGACCAGTAACTTGCAGGTCTAGGAGGCTCTGCTAACCACTGTCCTTGTATCAGGCAGCTTCAATTTGAGCTTTCTGTTTTGTTGTTCTTTTTAAAGAAAGAGCCATGTGTAGCCTAGGCTGGCCTCAAACTCACTACATAGCCAAGGATGACTGAACTTCTGATCCTCCAGAGTCCAGACATCACAGAACTGACAGAGCCAGTTTATTGGTAAGGTAACAGAAACAGTAACCACAGGTTTAGGAGTAGGACATTCATGAGGAGATCTCAGTCAAAAGCCTAACTTGTAATAATTGGAATCCCTGGCCATCCAGGGCCATCTAGGATGATATCTAGATTCTTCTATTAAAGTAACTAAGAGAGAAGTCTCCAGTGACAAGGACATTCCAGACCATCACTAGCCAGTCAGGAGCCCAGTTACAGAGCCCCTGAGGTGTGGCTAATTTAACTCTAATTTGGTGGTGGGAAATCATGGCCTTGGATGGCGGGACAGAGGGGCCTTTGCAGGAATGGTTAGAGGATCTGTCTTGTTCCAGTGAGTACTCATTCTACCCTGGGTCTAGAGTCACTGGATAAAGTGCAGCATGCTGGCTAGACTTGGATCACAGGTCCACACAGAAGGTTGCAGTATGAGGCTGTGCCTCACAATGGCTGAGTCCATACTGGGCACACACTTATACTGCATGTGCCCCAAGGCAATTCCACTCCATCCAGTGTGGCACAGAGAAGTCAAGAGGCTGGACACACACACACACACACACACACACACACACACACACAAAGAGGTTGGACACGAAATAGCACATGTTCTTGATCAGAATGTATAGTTTACGGACCTCTTTTATTTCATCCATGAATTTGTTTGCCCTGCTGGGCACATCTGATCCACTGCCCTATAGGGCAGCCACCGCCAAGACCAGCCATGCAATGGGGGATCTGTACAGGTGGTGGAAATTGGGCCTCTGGTGGTTTTAAGGGCAAATGAAGTCTTGGCTGAGCTCATGGGTAGCAGCAGACCTGCATGCTCTGGGTGTTCTAGAGCCAGCACAATGTCCTGGCTCTTCAGAAGTTGTATGCCTTCTCTGAGCAAGCC